CCACTCTGGAAGTGGCGCACGCCCATCGATCACCGAGGTACGCGGCCACCGAATCGTTCGTATCAAGACATATTTCAGTCGTTGATCCAAATGTGGCCCGCGCCAAGAACGGAGAAATGGGCACGGAGATGCGCCATGGGCCAGGAGTGCTGTATCGCCGCACAGCTCTCTGATGGAGGAAGCCACCAACCTCCTCAAGGAAATCTGCCTGGAGGGAGGCTAGTGGCACCATCATTAGCTGCTGGGCATGGTCGAGCAGAACATTGTGGCTATCGTGACCCACAGGCAACCCTACGACCTCGACAGCAGGTGATTCAAGCTTCCTCTCCTCCTCCTCCTTCATGGTGTGAAACGTTTGAGCCTTTTGGGGCGAGCCAACACCTGAGGCGAAAAAAGCAGCCCTTCTCCCCATGACTTTCCGGTCTGGAGTCCACCAAATGGCATTCCGATCATTCTTGGCTACATAGGTAGCCTGGTGAAGTGAAGAGAGGATGCAGCTGCAGAACCAGAGGTGATTGGATTTCCTGCTGCGGGGTTACACCGAGCTAAAGAGTCTCGTCTCTCGTGGTCTTTGATTCGCCTGGGAGATAGCGTCGAGGAATGTAAGGTATTTTATGACGCCACGAGACGTGCGTTTTTGACATTCCCCGCTAGCAGCAATCTCGGTTAGGGGGGTTGAGGTGCGCCCCACCAGCAACCGGTGCGAGCGTAGGGGAAGAAGGGGTGGCGCTGGCACAAGACTTAGTCGCGTAGGAGAAGAACCACCAACACAAGAGAGAGCTGCATCTGCATGCAGGGTGACCTCGATTTCGATGGCATTTTCGCGCCCTCCCTCGCCCATGCCGAACCAAAATCGCAGATGATGACCTTCCAAGGGATCGAGCTCACGAACCTCTACATATCTGTGGTGTTGTGGGCCGCGAGCGCCTTGAACTTCTCGATCTTTCGCCATTCGTCGACCCTGGTGTTCGCGGCCTGCCTCGGCGTACCTCCATTCGTATCAGCATTGATCAATTTACTCTTGTGCGGAGGCGGTGCCACTCACTACCCTCACCTGGCCACATGGGTACACCACCTACACACTCTCTTGCTCATTTTCGCCAAATTTCTCTTTGAGAGTTGTGTACATAATCTCTGATCTATGGTCGTGCCCCAATTCCAGCCGTTGGGCGGCCTCTCGTTGATGGGCATCCTTTGGATTGTGCGCGAAACCGTGCGGAGAGCGCAGGTACACGCCTTCATTGAAGCCTTTGTGGTGCCTCCTGTTGTCTCTTTCTCCCGTTCCCTCCAATGACACACAGCCCTATAACTGGGTTCAACAGGCCCAACCCCCGTATCTTCGAGTTGTCTCCTCGGTCTCACGCAAGTCAGTTGACGTGCTGGCCGTGTGCAGTGCCATCGGCCTTCTGTTTTCCATCCAGGTAGACCCACCTGCAGTGCTCTCTCAGAGAAACGTTGTTTGGCCCCAACCGTTGAGTTGCTTACCCGCGCCTTCTGTGTGCCCGTGTGTGGTGTGTGTGTGTGTGTGTTTTGGGTCTCCCCAGTCCCTCACTCATGCCACAAGCAGCTCCGATGAGGGCGCAGCCACCGTGCAGCACTCTTCTCTCGACTATCTGCTGTTTGTGGTCAAGCAGGCCAGGCAGAGCGTGCGCCTGAATCTCATGCTCGAGTTCCTGGTGCAATTCACCCTCGCTTCGCTGTTCTGGGCCTACTTCGTGGTCGAGCAACGTAAGGCCCACTCCTCCTCCTCCTCCGCCGAGGGCAAGGACCAAGCGCCGAGGGCCAGCAGCTCCGAAAAACCGGTCACCAGCCCCAGCGAACCACGCACTCGCGAGCGCGCAAGGTCAAGAGACGACGGAGGAGTCGAGGAAACAGGCGAAGCTGCCGACAAGCGGCGTAACGGGAAGGATAAGAATGGCCTCAACCGAAGCAGCGACAGCGAACGCGACAAGGACAGCAGCACGTCGGAGGCGAAGCAGCAAGACGGCGCCAAGACAAGCGACAAGCCGCGAGGGCGCAGAGCCGGGTCAGCGCTGAGAACGCTGTTCCTGCGCTCGCTCGTGCTCCACTCGGTGGTCACCTGCAGCATCATCTTCTACGCCTTCTGCACCTGGCCGTTCTCCGACTCCTGGCCCTATTACCTTACCTTCATTTCGCCGCTCTTCCTGGTACGCTCGCGGCATGCCAACCCTGTCGTCGTGGCCCCTCCCTCGCTTCGCTCCTTGGCGGCATCTAACTCGGCAGCGCCTGGCGCGTGTCGTGTCAGATGTCCTTGGCCCCGTCCGTGTCTCTTGGCATCATTACCACGGCCCTGCTGGGCGAAGTGTTCATCTTTTACGAGAGCAAAAGACAGGAGCTGCAGGAGCTGCTTTCCCTCTTCAAGAAGCAGCGATCGGACAACGAGGCCCTCCGCACCACCAACACCTTCTCCCAAGAGGTACCCCCTTTTTTCTTCTCTTTACTTTACTTTATTTTTTATTTTTTTTTGAGGTGCGGGGCTTGGGCGCAGCTGACCACCACGTCTCCCACACTTTCGGTGCACAGAAATACGATGCCGTTTCCAGGAAGATCACGGACAAGCAAAAGTTCCTCGATCACTCTTTCGGAGAGATGAAAAGCCGCGCCGAGGCGATGTCGGGTACTGCACCCCTCCTCGCTTCACCTCAGGAAGAGTGCAATGGAAAAGAACCTCATCGCATGTGGGGTCGTACGCCAGGCTTGATTTCGAGTTTGTCGGATTCCGATCTGCCCCTGGAACAGCGAGGTTACGTGTCGAAGCTGGACGAGACCAACACCCAACTCACCACGTTTGTTCGCGACGTCTCCATCTTCACCAAAGCCAACGATGGCCTCATCGATCTCGAAGGTTCTGAAGCATGCTGCCTCATAGCCATGACCACTATTGCTCCTCAACTAACGTCTTCTTTGTTTGTCTTCTTCATTTTAGCTCAACCCTTTGAAGTCGAGTCTCTGCTCGAGTCTCTTATCACGCAGCTTAGCCTGAGTCCCTCTCTTCTCGGTGAAAAGGACATCGACATCACGTACCAGATCGCCGATGATGTGCCGAGATACCTCATCGGGGTATCGTGCCCCACCAACACTGCTCCAATGCTCTGAAATCAAACGCTAATCGAGATGTGTGTATATATGTATATTTTATATGTCGTCGTTAACCAGGGCGCTACACAACTCAAGAACATCTTGGAGAGCATCCTCTGGAACGCCGTCAAGTTCACGCATCAGGTATCGCTGCGTCCAGCGCACGCATCTAAGGTCATTGACAGTTCAGGCTAACGGACGTCTTCTGGGCCTCAGGGTGCCATCGTCATTTCGGTGGTCCGTAACCAAGTCCGCGGGCGCCAGCCCCTGGGGCCGGAGCAAGCGGACCTCGACGGGACCGCCACACTCTCGTTTGCCATCAGCGACACGGGCATTGGCATCCCGCAGTCCCACATGGGCAAGCTGTTCCTTCCCTTCTCCTCGTCTACGCTCAAGAGATACGGGTACGAGCCTCGAGGACCACGCGTGGGCGTGCCTCGCAGCCCAATCCTGACCCCTCGGCTGACTCCTCCTTTCTTTGCCCTGTTCAGTGGCAGCGGATTGGGCCTTAGTATCGCGGAAAGGCTGACCTCGCTGTTCCTTGACGGCCGCATCTCAGTAGAGAGCGAGGTACGCGCGTTATTCCTATGACGCCCCCCGCTGCCGACCTGCGCCATGGCACGCCTGTGAGGGCATGCTGCTGATCAGCTGTGCTTTTGCGCCGTCAACAGGAGGGAAGAGGGTCGACCTTCACCTTCACGGCTAAGTTCAGCCTCGACTACCATCACCCACCCCCAGAGAGTACGCGCGGTCCAACCCTCAAACATCTGTGCAGGTCACACTGATCGCCTCTCCTTCTTCTCCTTCACTCGACAGGTGTGGTGGTATCGCTCGCCGGCTTCCCGATCTACGTCATCGACGACAACGAACACGTGTGCAGGCAGATCACCGATCATTTGTCCCAATTTGGGTGTCACGTAAGCTATGGTGCGCCGCTGCAATCCCCCCCGAACACCCTTCGCTTACCTCATATTTGCTACTCTCGTTCTTTGCCGCTCACCTGTCCTGTCTTCCCAACAGCTTTGAATTGGCGCCAGGGCATCGAAGAACTGAAGAGGGGCGACTACAAGTTGCTGTTCCTTGACTACATGGTACGCGCAGTAGCCCACATTGGCTTCCGTCGGTCTGTGTGCGTTGTTACGCTCACGCCCTGCGCTCCTCTGCGTCTCTCCAGATGGGTGGTGTCACAGGAGTCGAAGTGCACCGATACCTTATGGAAGAAGCGGGGCTCAGAGACTTGCTTGTCATCATGATGTGCGTAGCTCCATTGCCTCTCGGTCCCTTTGTTGCTTAAACCCTAACCCTGCGCCCTTCTTCTAAGGTGCACGCCCGCGCAAAAGAAGGAGATTCAGCACATCTCGCCCACCCTCAACGCATTCCTGCTCAAGCCGGTACAGTTGCACCCTCTTCAGCGCGTCGTCACCTGTTTTCTCTAGAGCTCACTTTTTCCTTTTCCTCACCAGCTTCGCAAGAAGGAGCTGCTCAACATCGTGATGAACCACTCGGGCAGTAAGCGCGGGGGCTACGCTCTTGAGGTGCCCACCAACTCGAACCAGGTGCGCTCTTCCTGCCGAATTCGTTCCCTATTCATAATTATTATGATAATTATGAAAGGTGCTGGTATTCTTTATTTATTATTATTTTTGCTGACGCGCTTGGCAGGCCGAAGGCGAGAGCAAGGTAGCGGAGGAGGAGAGGGCCATGGGTCAGCCGTTGGGTGGGATCCAGCTCAAAGTGCTCGTCGCGGAGGACAACAAAATGAGCGCAAAAATCCTCGACATGCTGATCAAGAAGGCCGGCCATCAATGCACCGTCGCTTCCGACGGTCAGCAAGCCTTCGCCGCCTACTCAAAGACGCCATTCGACATCATCTTCATGGTTCGCACCGGCCCTCCTCCCCATCAACTCTGATGACTGTCGCATCATGACCTCACGCCTGTCAAACGTATGCAGTAGGATTGCCGTATGCCCATAACCGATGGTTGGGAGGCCACCAAGCTGATCCGAGAGAAAGAACGGAAGGAGGCGGAAGAAAAGGTACGCTTTGCTCTGCACTCCGCGTGATTGTTCGACACCCGATTGTGAGTTGTGTTCGAGTTTCGTGGTCTCACATGCCCTTCTTGTGTGCTGGTTCACCCTAGGGACTATCCGCGGAAGAGGCGGCCGCCGACCACGTGCCCATCGTGGCCCTGACGGCCGACGATTCTCGAGAGATGTGCCTTCAGGTGGGCATGGACGACTACCTGAGCAAGCCTGTCGATAAGGCGGCCTTCTACGAGATGCTGCAGCGATATGCTCACCAGAAGCAGCAGCGAATCCGGTCCAACATGCTCAACCAACGGTACACTCCGATCCGCTCGGTTCCAAATGTCGTTTATTCGACTCACCTTTTTTCTCTGTGCGAACAAACTGTACAGGCGCACGTCGCGAAGTGATTCGTTGAACCAGCTCCCAGAAGCAGACAGGAACAGGCAGAGCATACGAATTCTGCTGGTCGAGGATAACGCCACCAACGCCCTCATCGGTACCTTTTTTTCCTCCCCCTCTTCTTAGTAATCGACTGATCGGTGGTGACCGTCGAATTGGTTTCGTTGCGTAGGAGCGCGTGTCTTGCGACGCAAGAACTTCCAGGTGGACATTGCCCAGAACGGCAAAATCGCCCTCGACATGTTCCGCTCCAACCCCGACTTGTACAAACTCATTCTCATGGTACGATCTCTGTTCCCGTACTCGCCGGGGTGTGATGCACAGGCCGCGTTATATCACATAATGCTCATCACATTTCACCTCACGCGCAGGATATCCACATGCCTGTCATGGACGGTGTCACGTGCACGCGTCACATACGTGAGTATGAAAATGCACAGAACATCCAAAACAAGGTGCCCATCATCGCACTCACTGGTACGCGTCGTGCACCACCTTCTTCTTGCGCAATCGTGAGTGGCTTCCGTGTGCTGACTCAACTCCTACTTTGCGTCACACAGCCGACACGACACCACGCCAGAGGCGGATCTGCATTGAGGCGGGATGCAATGAGTACCTCTCGAAACCGATCAACTATCCTCTTTTGGTGGATACCGTAAAGAGGTTCCTGCAGAACCTGCTCTAGTGCTGTACAGCGTTCCATCACCACCGCGAGCCGCGCGTGGTTGTGAAAAACAAAATAAAAATAAAAATAAAAAAACGTTGCAAATAGAAAAGGCGCGAAAAGACAGTACGCCAAGCCACAATTTCATCTTGTGCGTTGAAGGATGAGCAAGAGGAAGAAGTGCTACGCAGTCAGCGTGGGGCACACCCCGGGCATATACGACACCTGGTACGAAAAGCTTCAAATCGTTGTGAATTCATCTCTTCATCCAATTTTGGCTCGACCTGTTGCACAGGGAAGAATGCAAGGCGCAGGTAGATGGGTTCTCGGGGGCAAAGTATAAAGGCTTTGCCACCCAGGCCGAAGCTCTGCAGTTTCTTGAGTACGTTCAACCAACTCTCAACCCGCTGCACCATGACGAAGCCACAGCGCAGTCTGACAGGCTCCGCATGTTCTGCATGCAGAAGCAACGCCAGTGCAGCGCCACGACCCCAGCAAGCCAACACACGAAGCACAGCGCTGAAGCGCAAGCGGGAAGAGGACGACGATGAGGAGGAAGAGCAGACCTCGCCACAGAAGCCCCAAACGCGACGACAGACAAAGTTGATCACCTCTCCGTTCTTCTCCACACCCTCTTCCTCTTCGTCGTCTTCGTCAGGAGCTGAGCCGCGCGAGAAGAAGCGTTCACGCACAGTTCCTTCGCAGCCCACATCCGGCCGGTGCGTTTCTCTTCTTTCTTCTTCTTCTCGTAGCTGGTGCGGTGACTCACAATCAACCACCACACCACACCTTTAACCCTTTGCAGGAACACCACGTTGCAGAAGTTCTTCGAGGACAACAACCTGCAGGCGCGGAAGTGGGTGGACAAGGACTGGATTGTCGCCAACTGGAAGTAGCACACCTCATCGATGAGCTCATAAAACAACAATACCTGCACCCGGGTGGCACGGAACCTAAGCCGCGAGTGTGGCGATTCATGCGCGAACTGGGCCAGTAGGTCTATTTCCAGAAGTAGACCTGTTCGTAGTAGCGGTCGATTCTGGGCGTGTACAGCGGAGCGAAGTTGTAGATCAGCGAGGCGTACTCCTCGCTCTTGTTCGCAAACGTGTTCGCGCTCTTTCTGGCCTCACTGCGCTCCGTGTTTTTCCCAATGTTAGTTACACCACCGCACACGCACACGCACACGCACACGCACACGCACACGCACACGCACACGCACAGTCGAAAATGTGTGAGCGTGGACAAGGGATCAGGACCTGACGAGGAAATTGGAGAGGGCCTGCATGGCCGCCACAGCATCAGCCGAGTGGATCAGGGCCTCCTCACGGTCCCACTCGCTGCACCATCGGAGAACAAGACATCATGTGTGCGTGAGCAGGACAGCCCTCAGAAGAGACGTGCAGAGAGAGTGCGTGTCGTGTGCGTGTGCGTGTGCGTGTGCGTGTGCGTGTGCTTATGCGTGTGTGTGTGGCCGGTCCGTACTAGGCGTTACGCTCGGGGTGGTACTGGGTGGCGTAGAAGGGGTGCTTCTTGCTCTCCATCGACGAGATGAACGTCCAACCCCGGCGATCTTCGTTGGTCGACAGAATGTCCCACGTCGAGCGGAACCTTTCGTTGTCTGTGCCCACGGTAACTGAGTCAGTGACTGAGCGCGCACATGCACGCACGCACACCCACTGCACCACCGTGTCACACGCACGTCGCGTGCAGAAAAAAATGTGGCGTACGGGCATAGAGGTCGGGGGCGAGTCCGAGCTGGTGCAGGTTTTGCGCGACGGCCTGGTTCCTGAAGATGTCCACGATGCGCTTTTCCATCGAACCGTACAGACGACTGACCACAAGAGACGGAGAGATCGTGAGCGATTCGGAGGCGGTGCGCTGTCTCTCGGGTAGACCACCAGAGGTCTCACCTGTGCGCGGCCGCCGAGCTGAAGTCGAGGGCGAGGGTGAGGTTCTCGGCCTGGAACTCGGTCAGGATCGAATCGTCGCCGGAGGCCATGATCGCCATTTGCTCGAAGCCCTGGCAAGTGCCCCAGAGAGGGAAATAGTTTCCGGCCTCGTTTTGCTGCACATACCGGGCGGCCGCTCGCGCTCGTCACGTCAGTTCGCTGTGCAATTGCAATGGAGGAGGAGGAGAAGGAGTGGAAGCGGACCTTGATCGCCCAGTTGTAGATGAACTGGCTGGTGTTCTGGTAGTGTGAGCCCGGGATGTCGAGCTCTCCACCCGGAAACACCACACCTGATGCGATTTCAGAAGAATACCACACACACACACACACACACAACACGCACACAACACGCACATGAGGCACAGAACATGCCGGTGCTTCTCTCCCGCCACTCATCGAGTGGACGACCATCAGCGCGGCCGCGTACCGTTGATGCTCTGCAGCAAGCGGACCAGCTGCGGCTCGGGCAGGTCGTATCTGGTCAGTCACGAGAAAGAAGAAACCCTCATTAGCTCCCCCTCCGCCCACACATATCAGGCGGCACTGCGCAGGCTGCTGGCGAAGTGTGGGTGTCGGTACTGCACAGCGACCACGCGAGCGCCCGCACTCTCAAGCCTGCAACATGTTATATGCCCCCGGAGAGCAAAACAAAAAAATGAAGGCAACGTCGTCAAATAGAGAAAACGAAGAGGAAAAGGGAAGGGGAAGAGGGGGGGGGAGGTTCGAACCATTTGACGTAGGCGGCGGCGAGGTAGGTGCGGCCGAGTCCCTTGTACTGGGGGTCGGCGTAGGTGGGCTGGGCCATCACCCCGACAATGGGTCGGGCGTTGTGCACCTGGTCGCCCAGTCCGTCCACGACCGTCGCATTCGCAACTGCTACGCAGACCAACGCGCACACCACGAGTAATACGACTTGCGGCATCCTCTTCATCATCAACAGTTTCTTCTTTTGCTATTCTGGCGTGACCCAAAACAAGCGAAAGAAAGAGAGAGGAGTTGCACAACCGACAGCTGCGGTCACTTCCGACTTCTTTCGGGCTTGCCCATTGGGCCGGGAAAAAAGAAATGGCTTCAAAAATAAAAAAATAAATCCACAGATTAGATTTGCACTCAAGAAGAGAAGGGATGAGGCGTGCCACGTTGAAGGTGGTGGCGGGCAGAGGGGCGGTGCCGGCTGGGCAGGCAGTGCGGTCGTGCTTCGGTCGCCGGGCCTTTACCACAGCGGCTGCCAGCACTGAGGTGAAACAGAAGTATGATTTCATCAATGTACGTTGTGCCTCCCATCTACATCTGATCGGCACCAGCAGCTGCAAGATTTGTGCCGAGGAAGGCCTGACCGAGGGGGATTTGGACCAAACGATCTGCACTTCAGGTGGAGGACAAGGGCGAAGTGCGATGGGTGTCGCTCAATCGGCCAGACACGCACAACGCCTTCAACGAGCTGGTCATCGGCGAAATCACCGACGCCTTCCGCACCATCCAGCGCGACGCTGCCCAAGAGAAGGTGCACCACATTATTTTTTCATGATTATAATCATTATTTTTATTTTATTCAAATCAATTTTTGATTATTTATTATCCTTGCGCGGCCATACTGCACAGTTTCGTGCGGTGGTGTTGACCGGCAACGGCAAGTCCTTCTCGGCCGGTGCCGACCTCAACTGGATGAAGAAGATGGCCTCCTACACCCAGGTTCGTCGCCACTCTTCCATTCTTTCGTCACATCACCCTGAGAGGTGATCAAACATGGGGTTTTTTTTTCAAACGTCATTGATCATTGGTTGTGGTGGTGCAACTTTCGAGCAGAAGGAGAACGAGCTGGACTCGCACAAGCTGTTCGACATGTTCAATTCCATCTACGCGTGCCCCATGCCCGTCATCGGCCGCATCAACGGCAACGCCATCGGCGGCGGTTCGGGCCTCGTTTCCGCCTGCGACTTTGCCTTCTCCGTGCGCTCCTCTCTCTCTCTCTCTCTTCTCGTGTGCGGCCTTGAAGCAAGGCATCATGCACGTCGGAGAGTGAATACTTAACTGAGCGTTGATGTGGTGAACCTCGGCTGTGGGCTCGCAGGTCAACAAGGCCGTGTTTGGGTTCACCGAGGTGAAGCTCGGCCTCATTCCCGCGGTGATCTCGCCCTTTGTGATGATGAAGATCGGCAAGGGCAACTGCTCACGCTACTTCCTGACCGGTACCCCACCCCATCCCTCGCTTTACAGTTTGTCAAACTTCCAGCGCCTGCACCGATCGGCTGGCGCCTGACTCTTCACCCATCACCCGTCACCCACCTATCCACAACCAGGCGAGCGATTCTACGCAACCGAAGCGACTCGCTTGGGACTGATCCAGGGTTCCTTCGAAACGGTCGAGGAGCTGGACAAGGCCGTCGACTCGGTGCTCACCGTACGAGCTCCCCACTTAATGACACTAAGGTCTTTGTCCACGGGGCCTCACGCTGTCACACGCACACGCACACACACCGAGCAGGAGATCAAGGCCAACTCGCCGGCGGCGATGCGTTCGTGCAAGCAACTGATCAACAACGTCTACCACTCCCTGGGGTCTCCCAAGAAGGGCGAAGGCCTCTCGGACGTCAAGGCACCACCACCCCACCTCGCTCCTCCTTTGTCTCTCTTTGTTCATCACTCCTGTGGAGCTGACGATCACTTGGGTCCCCGTTCGGTACCACAGGAGCAGCTGGCGAGCGAGATTGCGCGCATCCGAGTGTCGAAGGAGGGCCAGGAGGGTCTGTCGGCCTTCCTCGAGAAGCGCAAGCCCTCCTGGATCGTGTCGTGAATGTACCCAGTTTGCGCCTTGCATTCCTTATACTGTTCCATTTACGTGGTACTTTGGGGGATTGCGCACAGAGCGCTGGGGCGCGCTTTTTCAGAAGTGGAAGCTGAGGCCAATGTGTGGCCCGCTCCTGCGGTCGTAGTTGACGGCGAGCATCCACGCCCCGCGTTGGTTCTCCAGCTTGTGTCCAATCGCGAGTCCAACACCATCCTGATGATGATGATGATGATGAACATCGTTGCCAGTGTGGGTACATGTCGGCCAGGGTCCTCGTAACAGCTCAGCTGGTGGTGGGGCGGGTGGTACCTCGGTGTCGAACTTGGCCTTGAGGATGTAAGGGAAGTCGCGCGTCGGGCGCAGCTCCAGTCCGCCGGCAGTTCGGGAGTGCAGGTCGTTCATGTTGAACTCATACCTGAACAAGGGCAGGACGAGCTGACGTGTCAGGTCTGTGGTGTCACCTTCCCTTGGTGCCTGCGCTGGGTGGTGGAGTACCGTGTGGCAAGGTGCACAGAACGGAAAATCTCACGCGTGTAGGTGGCTCGGATGTGGCCCATGACCTGAGTAGTAGAGAGAGAGAGAGATAGAGAGAGAGTGACGTGTCTGCGTGAGGGGTCACTCGATTGGATGGACAGAGGTCATAGAGGTGAGGTACAGCGGCGGCGATAGTGAACTCGGTGGTGGCGTCGCTGGTCGAGCCCTCCCGCTTCAAGTAGCGCAGGCCCACGGACACTGCCCCACGCGCCCGCACAGCATTAATGTAATGTGGACTAGAAAGCGGCATTAGAAGCGGAATGGTACAGCTGGGCTTGGCTTCGGCCACCGAGTAGAGGAGCTCGGCGCCGAGCGCCCAGTTGGTGGTGATCGCCTGCAAGGAAGGAGTAAGTATGTAGAGTGCCAAGGTTCGCCGACAGGAGGGACATCGTACGGTGAGGTTGTTGAGGAGGAAGATGTGCTTGTCGGTGGTGTAGGTGAAGCGCGAAGTAGTTGCCGATCCGCTGTACTTCATTGAACTGAGGAACTGCGTAGGGCAAGGTAAGATCACATCAAATGCACTATCGTGAGTCGCATGGAGGAGATGCGCATGATGAAAGTGTAATCGCGTGTGTCATCGCGTGTGTCGCGTGTGTCGTACGATAGGCACAGACGGTGTGAGGGAGCTGACGATCAGGTTTTTGAAGCTCCACCGCTTTCCTATCTTGTGGATGTACATCGCCTCTGCCGTGCCTTCGCTGGACACCTGTTATTCCACCGAGTCCCATTTTTTCGTCAAAGCGACGACGTCGAAAAGAAGAGAAGAGGACCTGTGTTGGTCAGCATACCTCGCCTGAGAGGAGGAAGCTGTGGCCGGGCGGCAGGGGCGCTTGGCCAGCAGCGACGTCCGCGCCGTCCGCAGGGCTGGTCGTCGGGGTGAGTGGCGTGGAGCAGTAGGTGAAGCCCGCGATGGGATAGGGCAACGGCGGCAGCAACATCAACCGCACCGACCGCTGAAACGGCCAACCCTGCCCAACAAAACAAAACACAACATTGGCACCACGCGAGGGCACCAGAAAGACACGCACGGGGCTGGAGTACGAGAGTGCGTCGACAAGGGCCAAAGTTGAGCATGTTCGGGAAGTTGAGAATATCTGTGAGACCACGCGCGAGACAGTCAGCGAACACATAAAGAGATTAAAATGTGTAGGGAGAGAGCGCGGAAGAGGCACCGGCAGCCCGCTGATCAAGCAGGTCGTAGGGACCCGGGTTTGGTCCCGGCTGGTCTCGCTGGTCATCTTCAAAACGCAACTCTTCCTCCATTGATTGGTATGTGTTTTTTCTTTTTCTCGATTTTAATCTTCTGTTTCTATCATTTCCCTTCTTTTCTTCGAATTTCCTAATATGGGGCAGTTGGCTTTTTATTGAGCTGGCCCCATTGGTTGGTTAGTTTAGCTTTCCTGTTTCCGGGAGGGACAAGAAGCCTCACCGACCTTGGAAAGCAGTCCCCCCACAGACAAAGGCAATGCCGTTGGCTCCGACCGTACCGCTCTGGCTTGTCGTTGTCGTCGTGGCATCGCTGGTGCTGGCGTGGAGGGAGGCACCTCCCGGACCTACACCCAGGCGTGCCGGCCGTGTGGAACGCCCGCGTTAGTCCCGAAGACCAACTCACCGACCAATTCAATCTCTATCGCGCGCTGGCCGGTGTGGACAACGTCGCAACGCAATCGGCTCTGATCAGCTGATTTGCTTCTCTCTTTCCACATCGTGGTGACACCACCAGTCGTTGTATTGACCCTCTCTCCCTCTCTCTCTCCTCTCCGTGTGTGTGCAATAATCAAGCATTGCTTGCGTGCTGCACAGCTCTCGTTGAGTGCGGGAACGGGTTCTGCCAGGAGCCTACTGAGACTGTGTTGTCTTGCCGGGAAGACTGCAAGCGTTGTGGGCCGTACCCTGCTGATCTTGGGGGCCAGCCAGCCAAGTGCGAGAATGGAACTTGGCTTTTGGGCGGCAGTCTTGAGCTCGGTGAGGTTCGTTCCTCACCACTGCGACCGCCCATTGATCACACACTCTGCCATTGGCCCATGCTCACTCATCGACGCGCCAGACTATAAACGCAGGGAGCACACCGCCGACGTTCTTGGGCGACCTCAAGCTTAGCGCCTCGTCTTCAATTCGCTTCACCGCCACGGGGAGGAACACCTACGGCTCCATCCAACTATCAGGTACCTCGTCATGAGCGTGCGTGCGCGCGTGCGTGGCATTCACTCACACTCATCAACGTTGTGCGTCGTTCAGGATGCGCGCACCTGGACGGAACCCTCGAATTAGACATTGCTCGTCGCATTGAAGGCACCACGCCCTAACCTTCACAGTTGTCAGCGGCACATGCGCACCAGTGCAGCCGCCCAGCAAGCGCCAGTCTTGTACGTTCCTTTCCGCGCAAGCTGCTTATCGCGAATGAGCAAGACATGGTCCCAGTCACTCACCAGAGGAGCGGGACCAGTCGGAGATGGCACGGCCTTCCGTCAGATCAAGATCAACTACCAGCAGGAGAATGAGTGCCCGCCTACCTCGGACAGCGAGGGCTCCGGCACCTCGTTCGCTGTTCTCATCAAGCCCGCGTCTGGCTGTGGCGGGCATGCTGGCGCTGTGATTCTACGGCGCAAAGACCAAGTGCTCCCCTGACAGTTTTTGATTAGTTTTCCTTTCCATTTCCCTTCTCTTCTGTTCCGTCCTATATTGCTCTGCTCTTCCCATTGGTTGGAGTGGCCAGTTTTCATTATTGCGCTGCCCGAACCGGCGGCACCTGGTTTCCCAGAGCTCAGCACCTCTGCGCTTTTCTTTACTCCAGCACACACCATGCAGGCCACCATGACCCCAACCGTTCGGCTCTTCGTTGTGGTCGCAGTGGTTATGCTGGCGCCACTTTTTATCTCGGGCGTCGAAGGAAGCGTCTCCCGTACCTTCAACGAGGCGTGCGCCGTGTGGAACGCTCGCGCTCTTTACCAGAGTCAACCCACCCCTCAGTGGCTAGGCAGCTCTCTCGACTGCGCCACAGGGGGGCCGGGCGTCATGCAGGTTCCCCTTCCTTAGTCGTTCACGTCCACGTTCTCCGTCTTGTCTGCTCCGCCATGAACGAAATTCACCACCTCAACCAATATCCGCGAGTGTGTACCTAAACCTTGGGCGGGCGGGCGGAGTGCAGGAGCTGGTGCCGGAGAACGTGCTCGACCAGTTCAATCTCTACCGCACGCTGGCCGGCTTGCCCAACGTCACCCTCAACGGCACCAAGAGTGACGGCGCGCAGGCTGCGGCCTGGTGGGACGCGGCACTTAGTACGAGCTTCACACCCAGCTCTTGTTCTGTCCCACTCGCGGCGCTCATTGCCATTGGATGGGCTTTTTGGCTTCCAGTCCAGGCTGGTGGGTGTGACCCGAACAATTTGGACCAGTGTTGGGCCAACACATCCTCGCCTTGCTACACTGAGGATAGACAGACACGGGCCTCGAGTATTCATCTCCATCAGGTGCGTTTGGGTGGAACGTACTTCGATGTGGCCTCCATCCTTGAAGCCGGCTACCACGATATTGGTGCGTGACATTCGATGCTCTTGCTCAGCCACTCATATGCCACGCTGAACATTTATATATTTTGACTCGCACTCCAGTCCTTTACCCCGAGACGACCAGCATCGGCATTGGCATGTACGGTAATGAGACTGGCGTGAACGGAAACTTTACCGGTTTTTCGTGCCAGACGATCGATGCTGCTGGCGCCCCTTCATCGCCGAACCGCGTATGACCTCCCCTATCATGAAGCTTGCAGTTTGGAGTCGCTCATGTCCCTCTTAATCAGAGAGACACGACCTCAGGGTGGTATGCCTACCCCCCTGACGGAGTGCTGGAGGTCTCGGCCATGAGCGGCTTGCGCATGTGGAAATTTGTCACGCAAGCGCCCCTCGGTACCTTCTCCAATCGCGATTAGGGGCATTGCTTCGAAAAATGAGACAAATGCCTGACTTTTGACCCCCAACCTGCAGCTGATTCAACCGCTGTCCAAGTTTTCGATTTGCAAAACAACTTCGAGTCAGTTCCATCTGAGTACGGTTCACCTGTCAGCTCCAACGGGTGGTATTGGTTCGAGTTTGGTGTGTTTTCCTCTCCCCCCGGGCAGTTCGCTCATTGAGCAAAGAAGCTGACCCAACTTCGTGGGGCAC